TGACAATCTTAAAACACTTAATGATTTTCAAAGATTGCTAGGTGATATCAACTGGCTTCGGCCGTACCTTCGGCTCACTACAGCTGAGTTGAGACCCCTCTTTAAAATTTTGGAGGGAGACCCAAGAGTGACGTCCCCTCGAATGCTGACACAGGACGCAAAAGAGGCCTTGGAGAGGGTTGAACAGGCCATCCAGAATGCACAGTTAAGACGATATGATGAGAATAAACAATTAGTGTTGTGTATTTTGCATACTAAGTCAGCACCCACAGCTGTCCTTTGGCAAGATGGGCCTTTGTTATGGATACATGCTCATGCCTCCATTCACAAAACAATTGAGTATTATCCCACGGCTGTGGCGTCTATTGTCATGATGGATATAAAGATGTCTTTAACACATTTTGCTATGCAACCACAGTTGTTGATCCAGCCATATACCCCTAAACAAATACAAGTCTTGAGTGCAACACTAGATGATTGGGCTGTTCTTGTCTGTGCATTTTCTGGCAGGTTTGATAATCATTATCCCTCCGATAAACTGTTACATTTTGTCATGAATCATCCAGTTATTTTTCCTAAGGTGACCAAGCCTTGCCCCTTGGATAATGCAGTCACCATTTATACTGATGGGTCAAGCTCTGGTGTGGGAGCCTATGTTGTCCAGGGAGGGGAGACAGTCATTAAACATTTTGAGCCAAATAGGCCACAACTAGTGGAGTGTCAAATGGTTCTGGAGGTGTTTCTCACCTTTACAGGTCCTCTTAATATTTACTCAGATTCCCATTGTGTGGTCAATGCTATAAATCAACTTGAATCTTCTGCAATGATCTCTGACAGGAGCCCCGTGGTCTCCATTCTGTTGTCCATACGTGATACTATTAGAAAGAGGTCGCATCCTTTTCACATGGCTCATATACGAGCGCACACACTGCTGCCAGGTCCTATGGCAGAGACCAATGCTCGCGCCGACGAAGCCACCCGAGCTTTTCCAATGATAACATCAGATCCTTTTTCAGCAGCACGCCAATTTCACGAGTTATATCATGTGCCCGCCAGGACACTAACGCTTAAATTTAACATTCCTAGACAAGCGGCTAGGGACATCGTTAAATCTTGCCAGGCCTGTGTCCCTTTCAACCACCCACCACATGTTGGAGTCAATCCAAAAGGCCTGCTACCAGGTGACCTCTGGCAAATGGATGTCACCCATGTACCTAGTTTTGGCCGTATGCAATACGTGCATGTATCAGTCGATACTTGTTCTGGTGTGATCCATGCATCACCCTTTACAGGTGAAAGATGGTTAATGTTGTAACTCATTGCCTGGAGGCATGGGCCGCTTGGGGTAAACCCAAACGCTTGAAAACTGATAATGGTCCTGCGTATGCCTCCAAAACCTTTCAGCAGTTTTGCTCTCAGATGGGTGTTTGCCATCACACTGGCCTGCCGTACAATCCACAAGGGCAAGGCATTGTAGAACGGGCTAATCGCTCGTTAAAGGAAATGTTACAAAAACAAAAAGGGGGAGTAGCCCAGGGCTATTCACCCAAGAATGCCATATCCCTAGCTACTTTCACTTTGAATTTTTTAAACCTTGATGATCAGGGACGATCAGCGGCCAGCCGACATGCTGGGGCTCTACCCACCGAAAACGTTGAAGTAAAGTGGAAAGATGTGTTAAATAACACATGGTGTGGCCCAGATCCAGTGATTGCTAGATCCAGGGGAGCTGTTTGTATTTTTCCACAGGGCCAGGAACAACCGGTTTGGGTCCCGGCAAGACTGACAAGAGAGCTGAAACGGATACAGGACAATGAGGACGACCCTCGTGGTGCTGATTCTCCTCCTGTGGACGCCAATGATACAGATGAAAATGACGCAACTGTGGGCAGTAACCAGGGCATGGCCAATACCTATGCCTGTTCACGCTAATTCCTCTATTATTCCCACCTTGGTTTCCACCTCATGCGATATGGAAGCCCCTTGTATGGTCCCTAGAGATGATAAGATAGAACGATTTAATTCAACTAAAGTTGTGCTTAATGGGACCTTTTGTTTTTCCCTGGAACATAAAACCCCATGCATTCTGTTAAAACAAAAGAATTTGGTTAATTGGATGGATCCCTTGCTTTATAGTCAGGTGAATATAGGCATATTGGCATCAGCTTTAAATCAGATTGTTCAGGGTGCCCAATCAGGCGGTGGTACATCCAGTAATGCAACTTCAGTTAACGTTACCACCTTGGCTATGAATACCACATTGTTGGTGCCTATGAAAGATCCCTCTCTTAGAGATTATGATAGCACTGAATTTAAAGCATCCCCACATGTGTCCCAGATTTTTCTTTCCCTCCCACCTATACTGCCTGTCAGGGCAGGACATGGGAGGAGTTACAGATTTCACAGGGATTCTCCCTTTCTCCATCTATGAAGAGATATTTTTATAATCAGTCAAACAAAAGTTCTACCATAGGGGATGGGTGGTCCTGGTATCAATGGTTGGTTTCCAATGAGGCAGGAGCAACAACAGACATTTCCGCCTTAGCCCAAATCCAAAAGCTCACCACCCGGCTGATTAATGTTTCTGGTATAATAACCGAAACATCCCTTGGTAGGTGACTTCGTGTACTTCAGGAGGAGGAGCTGGCCAATACTACCTTGGTGGCAGCACCAGTGTGTGTACCTTCTCCTTTTGTGTTTCTGCTAACTAATATTACTAATGCTACCCAAGAGGTAGATTGCAGGAGTACCGATTGCTTTCTAGCTCAATGCTGGAATGCTTCATGGAACCTTGTAGTGGTTATGAGGATACCAACATTCGTGCCAATTCCTGTTAAAACGGATCCTGATGCGTTCCCACTCGTTACTCTTTTACGAGAACGAAGGGAGTTTGGACTCACCGCCGCTATAGTAACAGCGATAGTGGTGTCAGCGGCTGCCGCAGTTACCGCAGCAGTGGCTATGACCAATCAAGTACAAACTGCAGATACCATTAATAATGTGGTTGCACAGGCCGCTACAGTGCTGGATACTCAAAGCAGAATAAATAGACACATGCTGTCAGGCATAGTGGCAGCTAATCAAAGAATTGATTTTTTACAAAGTCAAATTGATGATTTGGCTGATTTGGTTTAAATGGGTTGCATTTCGTATCAAAAGCATGTATGCATAACCCCACTTTCTTTTGATAATTCCAGAAATGAATCAAAGATCCTAGGCGAATTCCTTGCCGGCAACTGGTCCAAGGAAGCGGAGAACCTGATCCAGGACCAGCTGTTGCAGATTGCTACCTTGAACGATACTCGTATACAGCCCATAACCCTTGGACAATTTACTGATTGGCTGCAATCCGCTTTTTCTTTCTTTAAGGAGTGGGTGGGGGTTGGCGTATTCGGTGCCATATGTTGCCTCGGCGTGTTTCTCTGCCTTTGGCTTCTGCGCCGATTTCGTGCACGGCAAGCTCGGGACAAAGCAATTATAGTCCAGGCCCTTGCCGCCCTCGAACATGGCATCTCCCCTCAGGTCTGGCTGGCTAGCCTCAAGCATGACCTACAACTGGATGTGGCCTCCGCACCCCAAGTCGTTAGAGACATTGCACTGGGACAGGCACACCCAGTTCTCAATGTTTTTTAAACGTGCTGGTAGTCCTTGCACCTCATAGGCCTTGCTGCCATTGCCCATGAGAGGACACACAGCATGACGCGCACAGCGCACCCTAACCCTTGATCGTTGGGGACGTCATGAGGTCTCAAACTAGATCGGGTTTCTGCTTTAAAATATAAAAGGGGGAGATGTAGCGCGCACCATGGCGCTGTCATGTCGTGGGCACGGAGCCTGGGCGCCGTTTGCTGTTCCACGTCAAATTGAGAGAACTTGTGCACATGCGTGTGAGCTCCCCCTCCCCAGCGCGGGGAGTCTTTCGATCTGGCCAATCATTATTTAGCACGTTTATCGCTCCATTCTGGCCTGAGCCATTGGGTTGATGACACGTCAGGGCTTTGTCTGGCACCGTATATATTCTTCTGCTTCCACGGGGACGGGGGCTTCTTGCCTCTTTCAAACCTCAAGTGTAAGGGCGTTCTGAGAAGGATCCTGTTGCAGTCGTCTCTTCTGCTGGCAGGAGCGGCGTGCTGCACCTAACCTCCTAGGGAGAGATTCTGAACTCATGTTGGGCATCCACTATATTGGATGGAAATTGCTCTCAGAAGACATGTAACAATGATCTGTGCCCCAGGGCATCCTGATACACTGTGTGCACACTGGTTCCACCGGTGTGGTGTTACCTTCCTGCTCTCACAGGCGGCACAGATGCATGGAACAGTCACAGTCTGCCCAATGTCTGTTTTGCACACACTCAACAATTTAGAGTATATCTTTCTATTCACAGCATAAAAGCCTGTGACAGCAACATGAATCAGGGCTCTGCGGCAGGTGCTGGGCCTTGACTGCCTCTGTACAAGGTGACAAGACATTCTCTGCCTGCCTGCGGGGATAGACAGAGGATCCCATAGAGGAAAACCATAATCATTGGCTCCATGATGCCCACAAATCCTCACTCAACAGAATTAGGTCTAAGTCAGTATCTACTAGGTGAAACTGTGTCTGTCCTCACACCTGCATACCAGAATTATAGCCATCCTTCTACCTCTACATATACTCTTCATACACAGCCACTCTCTGTCCACTGCTAAAGCAACTGTGTATTTGATTCTGGAGCCACTGTGGCTGCCAATGTTATGCTTATCCACCTGGGCCACGTTAAGGACACACTGCAGAGTAAAATGCTTTCTTTGGATTCTGAGCAACCAGTACTTGAGATAATGTCCTACACTGACCTGACCCATCAAAGCTCAAAGCAACTAGACATTGTCTAGTTAATAGTGTGTAGATGACCGAAGTTACAAAGCCCAACCCTGACAGGATATGTCAAGAAGTTGGACATGGTCCCAGAGGACTCTAACCTTGAGCCTATAAAAGATCAAACACCCAGTGGTTGTCACCTGTGTCAACAGCTGACCCGATGTCAACTGGTTGATCCAACGTGTGTATCGCTCTGTAGAGTCTGGGGGGTCTCTCCTCACTTGGCATCCTATGATCTGTGAAAAACAACAACAAAAAGATTTTAAGGTTTTGTAAATAAGTGTGAAATCCAAGGATTGGGGGCCGATTCAAGCAAAAATCCTTGGCATCAGGAGGAAGAGAGAACAGAATGCCGCTAGACAGACCCTTGCTGGTAAGCCACAGCCTCGTGTTGATACACAGACTAACAGAAAAGTGTTAACTTAAGATATAAATGGGGCTGGAGAGATGGCTCAGTGGTTAAGAGCACTGGCTGCTCTTCCAGAGATCCTGAGTTCAATTCCCAGCGACCACATGGTGGCTCACAACCATCTGTAATGAGATCTGGTGCCCTCTTCTGGCATGCGGGCATACATGGAGGCAGAATGTTGTATACATAATAAATAAATAAATCTTTAAAATAAATAAATAAATAAAATGTTAAAAAACAAGATATAAGTGTTAGCCAGAAATACATGTTAAGTGATTAGCCAAGCAGTGATTTAAATAATATAGTTTCTGTGTGACTGTTTCAAGTCAGAGCGGCCGGGAACACATGAACAACCACTGACAACACTCTGACAAGTATTCTTATGTCACGGGTGGTGACAGTGGACCTGGGATAAAGCTTCCGTGTTGTGGGAAGAACAGGGTTGGTGTGGGGGTCTGAATGAAAACGGCCCTAATACGTTCAGGCATTTGAATACTTGGCCTCCAGTTGGTGGCACTATTTGGACATGTTTAGGAGGTATGAACTTGCTGGAAGTATGTCACTAGGGGTGGGTTCTGAGGGTTTAAAGCCTTATTCTATTTCAGTTCACGCTCTGCTTCACACTTGCACTTGAGAATGTGATCCCTCACCTTCCTGCACCAGATGCCATGCCCGTTACCTGCTGCTGTCTCCCCCGCAACACGATCTCTCTAGAGCCATAAGCCACAATTAGCTCTTTCTGTCCTAAGTTGCCTCGGTCATGGTCACAGCAACAGAAAAATCACTAGTACATTTGGGGCTGGTTTGCTAGGGGTTGAAGTTCATGCCTCACACAATGAAAAAGAATCGGTGAAACTGCAGTTGAGTTGATGCTCATGCGTAGCTGGGTAGACAACAGTCAGTGAAATTCTACTTAGGAGCAAAGCTCCCACCATATGTATGCTCAAGACTTTGCCCAGAAATATAGTGATTCTTCATTTACATTTTAATAACAGCTTGTCTGAAGATCAGAACACATTAGTCAGTCATGGGCCAGGCAGTGGTGGCACACAACTTTAATACCAGGAGCCACACTATTTAGTCATAGAGGCCGGGCAGTGGTGGTCCATGCCTTTAATACCAGCCCTAAAAAGGAAGATAAGACAGGAACTTGCTCCCTTTTACTCTGAAGATTTCACGGAGGTAGGAGCTCTCTATTGGCTAAGCTGCTTTGCTTTCCTGACCTTCAGGTTGAACCCCAGTATCTTTCTCTGGGTTTTTATGATTTGTGCTACAGTGAAGCTCTTGCTTTGCTAGGTGGGATTCCCTTCTGTATGCTGTGAATACCACTGGCTAATAAAGAAGCTGTCTTGAGCCTATAGCAGAGCAGGGCAGAACAGAGCTAGGCGGGGAAAACTAAACTGAATGCTAGAAGAAGAAAGGTGGAATTTAGAGAAGCCATGGAGCCGCCGCCAGAGACAGACAAGCTGAAACCTTGCCGGTAGGCCACAAGCCTCGTAGTAAAATATAAAATACTGGAAATGGGTTAATATTAGATGTAAGAGCTAACTAGCAATACACTTAAGTGATTGGCCAAGCAGTGATTTAAATAATATAGTTTCTGTATGATTATTTTGGGAGTCTGGGCAGCCAGGAAAAAAAACAAGCGGCCTCCGACTACATATACCCAAAGTGAAAGTAAAGCTTTCATGTTACCAAGTAGGCAAGGGTTGGTGAGGCTGTCCTTGGGATAAGGGTCCTACATTACCAAGAAGATGAAGGTCACTGAGACTCTACTTAGGGGTGAAGTCCTAGGTTCACAGGGTAAATGAAGGTTAGTGAAAGACTCGACTTTTGGGTGACCTCTTACCTCACAAGTATCCAGTAAGACCATATAGCTGGGGGGAATGTGGAATATTCCTTTACACTGTGTGAATATATGTCACTGTGATTGGCTTACTTAATAAAAAAGCTGACTGGCCTATAGCCAGGCAGGATAAAGTTAGGCAGTAGAACTGGACTAAGAGAATGCTGGGAGAAGGAGGAGTCTGAGGTGTCAACAGGAGACACAGAGGAAGCAGGAGATGAAGTTGCCATATTGAAAACAGGTACCACCGTGTGGCAGACCATAGATAAGAAATATGGGTCAATTTAAAATGTAAGAGCTAGTTAGTAATAAGCCTGAGTCATCAGGCGAGCTTTATAATTAATAAGTCTCTGTGTGGTTAGTCGGGAACTGGCTGGTAGGAAAGAAAAGTCCACTTATGGGGGAAGCTCCTACCTTACAGGTTAAATGAGGATCAGTGAGACTATAGCTGTAGGAAAGTTCCTGTCTCATCTGTAGGTAAGAGTTCAAAGATATGGATTGGAACGGATAGAAAATGTTAGCTCTGCTGTCTTTGAGGCTACTGCCTGAACTGGGGGATGAGAAAGTTTACTCTGTAGAGGTAGACCCTGGGAGAGGAAGGCTGGTGGTTCCTCAACTCATCTATGCTTAGTGCTTGTGACAGATGTTCTTGTGCCTACTTCTAACATTGAGTTTGATTTCTGCAGCCTACTGGATTCAGCAGACACCCACACAGCCTAAGTACAAGGATTCCAAAGAGAACTATCAGCCATCTAGTGTTTATTTGTACACCACTCACCACCATGCTTGTCTATAGTGGGCCACACAAGTGGGATGATGTGATTTTCCTGTCTTCACCCGCTTACCACCACCCTTCCCTCCATGCCTCTGCTCAGGAATCCAGTGGGAAGGCCCCTTGTGACAACCCGAGGATCCTGCAGAGCAAGCATGAGGCTTCCCACATTCTCCTATCAGCTCCAGAACTGTTTAGGTTGCAAAGGTTCAGGAGACTGAGGATAGGAATTAATGACAATAATAAATTACATTTAGAGCTTCTAATAATGCCCCAAACATAAAATCCAAGAATTCTGCAGTGATTCAAACAATGGGACACATTATCCCAGCTGCCATCAGGGGTCTTCCCTTACTAAGTAAGTGGTTTTTCTTGTAAATGGCCTCAAGGAAGTAACAACAGGGCAGGGACAGACTGCCAACATTCATTTCATTCCTTCTGAACAAACTAAGCATAATAATCAACATAGCCACCAACCAGCAACTACAGATTAGGACTTCGTAAGCCATGATTTTAAACCCAGAATCCCAGTAACCGCTTCTTCTCAGGCTAATTTTGTGTTACAGAGCCAACGGTCCTGAGTCAAGAAGAGAAAGAAGTTCTTCACCAGACTCTAAGGCTGGGAGCAAAACGCAGCACAAGGTTGTCTACTGGATGCTGGACGGAGCATCTGAGAACTCAGTGAGGATGACAGGAAAAGTCATAATCTAGAACTTTAAGCAATATATTAAAATGCTTTAACTCGTCAAGGCTGACTTAACTATAACAGAAACTGACAGTTTTTTTTTAATTCCTGAACATCTCTAAATACCACAGCTCATTTCAATGAATGAATGGCACAAAAACCGCAGAATTCAGTTCATTAATGCAGCCAATCTGCTTAGTTTTAGCTTTGGGTAGAAATGAAAGGGATTAAAACATCTGAAAACAGCTATCTAAAATGTCAATACGTGTTACAGAATTCCTTACATGTTTCCAGCATATATAATATTATAATAACTGGAAACTCTCACTTCTGAGTAAAGCATACAGTATCTTTCAGGAGAACTGGAGCCCCAGCCCCAGACAGCTTTTCTCTGCTGGGGCAGAGACAGGTTCATGTGCCTTGATTTCAGCACGACCGTCAGGACAGGCAAAGCACAGACGAACATGTCCTACTGAGTCGGGCAGCAAGCAGGCTCAATTCAGAGCAGGGCTTGTCCTTCATCCCCTGACTTCCACAACAAACATCATCTGGCAGGCAGGCACTCCAGAGGAACTTCTGGAAATTCTATCCCTTGTGTTCCCTTCACAGACACAGCACGGAAGTTTATTTTACTCCTAACAAACAGACCACACCAGAAAATTCTCCAGATGATGAGGATACCTGCCAGTATCTCTGGCGACTGGGGTAGCAAACCCTGAACTGTTGGGTGAGACCTAGTGATTCCCACCCTGGGGAGCCAAAGGACGACATTGCCTGATGTAAATGGAGTTCCCATTCGCTCCATGACAGCCGCATGCTGCCAGACACTGCTGGCCATCTCCTGACATCTTTCCCAATTGAAGGGGGTGGGGGGGTGGAATATTCTATGCTTTTGAACTTTAGAAAAGCGACTTCTAGAGTCTGTGGTCACTGAACACTGTGATTTGTGGCTCTTCAGCTTTGTTTACTCATGACCCTTTCGGGACACAATGAAGGCTACAGATCTTCCTTTCTCTTGCTGAAACACACTGCACACAGAAGTCCTGCACACACCCTGTGGGTCCGAGTCCCCCAGAACCTTTGGTAACCATGGTGAAGGTGGTTACATTGATGCCCTCTGCTCCGAGGAGGGCAGTGCACATGATCACACACTACTGCCTACATGGGCAGAGTAGCTCGTGTCCCTGCCTTAAAATTCTATAATAGAAGAGGTTCTGAGATCTCCCAGGGTAAAGTTCAACATCTACCCTCTATGCAGACAAAAGTGGCTGAAGCGTCAGAAGCAGCCTCAAAGGTAGGCTGGGTAGGACGGGCTTGGGAAGACTGGTGAGGCAGGCAGAGTAATAGGGACTGATACGGGCACATCCCTACCTGGAACAACTCCCACCCCCAAGAATCACAGAGCTGCCTCAGGGGATATAAGGGTACTATCCTCTGCCAGAGACCTCTCAGGAGCAACCAAGGCATGTCCTCTTATCTTACAGGTGTCCTCCACAGCATCAGCAACCCCAGCTCAGGGCACATAAGTCTTCAGCCTCTGACTTGAAATAGGATAGGGATAGCTGGGTGGTGGCGGCACAGGCCTTTAATCCCAGCACTCAGGAGACAGAGGCAAGCGGATCTTTGTGAGTTCAAGGCCAGCCTGGTCTACAGAGCAAGTTCGAGAGCTAGGACTGTTACACAAAGAAACCCTGTCTCAACAAACCACAACAAAAAGAATCGGGAACTCCCTACTCCAGGAGTGGGGTCTGAGGTCTGTGTTTGTACATCAGGATCAAAGGGAGGGGAGGGGAGAAATAAGTAAAAGGTGCCGACTTAGTGAAAGCAGCGGGAGGATAACCAGCTGCCCTGATGGTAAAAGGTTGATCTGAATGTCTCAAAGTATGCTTTGGGAAGGTTGCTTAGTGTCCTTTCCCCTCCGAATGGACCAGTGTAATATGGAAATAAAGGCCACTGTAGTCCGACTTGACTTTACATGGAGTTGAACTCCCTGGTAGGAAGCAACACCCTGTCCTGGGCGAGTGGCTACATGGCAGAGGATAACCACTGCATCATAAAGCAAGCAATAGAGAGAGGGACGGAGAGGAGGAGGGGAGGAAGAAAGAAATCTGTCTTTTCTGTTTCAAAGTGACAACGGCTTCCCAAAACGGTAACAGGATAGAAAGACAGTGGACATCAAAGGCACATAGAAAGGAGCCCTTTGCTTAGGAAGGAGTTTTTGCTTGAAGTCTTTCTCTAGTTGAGAGTCAAGAATTCCAGTATAATTGGAAAAAAAATCTCCTGTGGAGGTTAACTACATAGGGTCAATTTCTTTTTATTTCAAGTAAGAGTATTATAACATGATAACAGATCATGCTTGAGGCCTAAGCATGTTATTGACCCTGCTGCATTTGGCTACTACTTTCCCTTCTCCAGCTATAAAACGTCAATTTTCTAAGACTCTCACAAGAGTGTAAACTTTGTTTACAGTAAAAACATGTCTTAACTCCTTGTAACCTAATATATAAAAGATTCCTTCAACTCTTCTGACCTATGGTTTTACCTTATTACCCTTTAATCCTGTCCAACGTACCGCAGAAACTACCCTCTCTGATCTCATTTATAAAAGAAACAAAACAGCAAAGAAAAAAGAATTTCTTAGAATCCTTTAAAGAATGTAGCTTCAGAAGTCATCAAAATTATATGTACAGTGATTTTGTTTTGTTTTTCAAGATGGTTTCTCTGCATAGCCATGGCTGTCCTTGATAGAACTCGCTCTGTAGACCAGGCCGGCCTCGAACTCAGATCTGCCTGCCTCTGCCTCCCGAGTGCTGGGATTAAAGACGTGTGCCACCACGGCCCAGCTTTGTATAGCTATGATAAGATCCTTAAGTGACTCTCTTGAGAAGTCTATGCCCGTACTTGGGGGTATGGTATCTTTTCCTAAATACTTGTCTATTAATACTCTGCTTAAATCTATGTTAAAAATCCCTTCTTAATAAACTCCTTTACTTCATACTGACTTGTCCTGAAGTTCTTTTTTTTTTGATGTTTTGTTTTTTTCAAATTGATTCTTTTTTTTTTTTTTAGATTATTTATTATGTATACAATGTGCTGTGGGCATGTCTGCCTACATGTCAGAAAAGATCTCATTATAGATGGCTGTGAGCCACCATGCGGTTGCTGGGAATTGAACTCAGGTCCTCTGGAAGAGTAGCCAGTGCGCTTAACCTCTGAGCCATCTCTCTAGCCCAAGAAATTCTTTTCTTTGATGAAATTAAGAATTCTGATCTCACTTAGTGGCATTCTCTCAAAAGAACACCTTACACTTCTATAGGCAGCAAGGTAGTTTTGCATCTGGTTCCTACTCTTGTTGCCACTAGCCAGAAACACGTTTATACCCTTAAAGGCTCAGAAACATGGCAGTCACAAATCTCCCCAATTTGACTGACTATAAACAGTCTTTCTAATCCCAAGGAATAAAATCTCTAAAATAAAAAGACTAGCATTCCATTAAAGATGGCAACAACACAGAAAAGGTGTTGTACTCACACTCGTTGGGTGCTGCACGGCAGCTTCATACTGCAGCCTCACTCTCTGGGGCATCATGACATCGTCCTGTGTAAAGAGCACGTTTTATATTAATATAAAGCAACCCCAACGTAGTAAGAAAGGCACACAGTCCATGAACACAACAGCATAGGCAACTCAGATGTTCATAAACCAAGCTCTTTGGTCATCAAAGAAAAGCAACTATGTGACTGGTGGGAAAAAGAATTCTGGCAGTCAAAGCGTAGCTCAGGATGAAGGTGCAGATTTCCTAAGACTTAGCACTGTTACCATCTGCGTAGAAAAGGTCCTCTATCCAAGTTAGATTTGGACAGCACTTTCCAGACATGGAACATCCAAGTCAAGAATTTCAAATGGAGAAACAAGCTACATCCAATATTATTCTCAAAGATCACTCAGTGGGGAATGCAGTCACAGCTGCGCTGATCAGCAAATCCAGGACAAAAAACAGATACAGTATCACTTCACATACTTAAATTCAACCGTAGGAAAGTAGACCACGTTACTTATTAAGTGCACACATAATAAAAAAAAATAAGGAAAAGAAAGGACCATGGAGCCCCAAAAGCCCACTGAGGTCACTTGGAACAGGAAGTTGCTGGAAGCTGTGGTGATATTTTTGATATTTTATTTGTGATCTAACAAAATGTGCCCGAAGATCAGAGTGTGGAGCTAAGCCACTAGTTTGCCATAGAGGCCAGACAGTGGTGGCACACACTTTAATCCCAGCACTCGGGGATGCAGAGACAGAGGGATCTCTGTGAGCTCAAGGCCACCCTGGGCTACACAATACTGATCCAGTCTAAAAGAAAAACAGAGCCAGGTGGTGGCTCACACCTTTAATCCCAGTACTTGGGAGTCACAGTCTTTAATCCCAGCACTAGGAAGGTGGAGAGAGGAATACAAGGTGGTGGGAGGAGATAGGAGCCCAATACATTCAGTCTGAGAATTGGTGGGGACAGGATCATGTCCACTCTGGTCCGAGGATTTGGTAGAGGTAAAAGGTCTCTCTAGTGGCCAGGTCCTTTTCTTCTCTGATCTTTCAGCATTCACCCAATATCTGACTCTGGGTTTTTATTATTAAGAATAGTTAGAATTTGTGCAGCAGGATGCCACATCGTGGCTGATTCCTGAGATGCTGGCAATAGGAAGCTCCTTATATATGTTCCACAATATAAGGTTTTGTGCATTTTCCTGCAGGAATACTTCACTTCATAGTAAAATAAGGTATTTTCAGAGGACGAATAATCAACAAAGATTTAAATATTTAAAAGGGTGTGGGAGTAGGTGACAGGGGAAATACTTATAAAATAATGCTACAATAACTGGACCAGAAATTAAGGGGCCACTTGCCACTCTGGACTCCTTATGCCCATAAACAAACAGATAAAGAAATGAGTTAGGGTGCATGCGAAGGTGGCTGACCCAGACTCCTGGGGGATGCAGATGACTTCTCTACAAAGGACTAGGAAGTATAGAGTGCAGGAAATTTCTTAAAGAGTCTCTTGGGGGGCTGGAGAGACGGCTCAGAGGTTAAGAGCATTGCCTGCTCTTCCAAAGGTCCTGAGTTCAATTCCCAGCAACCACATGGTGGCTCACAACCATCTGTAAATGGGGTCTGGTGCCCTCTTCTGGCCTGCAGGCATACACACACAGAGTATTGTATACATAATAATAAATATTTTTTTTAAAAAAGAGTCTCTTGGTTTGATCGTGTTCTGTGATTAAGGCTAATAAGAAATCACAACAGCACGATTCAGGCAGCATGACAAATGGCCCAGACAGTTTCCAGAATAAAGGTGTTAGTCGCCTTCCAGGCAAAGAAGCAACTCCACTGAGGGGCTTCATAAACGATTATGAGACAGAGAATTATGGACGGAGACAGAAAGAATTGCCTATTGCCAACACTTTGGGAATCTGCCTTGATGCTGCTTCCAGCAACTTCCTGTTCCGAGTGACCTCGGTTTGGGCTTTTGGGGCTCCACTGTCCTTTCTTATTTTTTTCATTATGTGTGCACTTAATAAACAACGAAGCCAACTTTCCTAGGGTTGAATTTAAGTATGTGAAAGGATGCTGTATCTGCTCTTTTGTCCTGGTGAGCAGCTCTGCTTGCATTCCCCACTACGTGGACTTGGAGAGCCGTTATAATAACTATGACCATGTGACCCATTACAGAAATGAGGCTATCAAAGTTCCAATACATTTCCACCTTATTTTGTTACAAACACATTAGGTAAACATCTTTGTTTCCTTCCTTTCATTCCCCTATTTCAGTTTTGGGTACATCAACTGAAGACTAGGACTCTCTGACGAAGAGACTGTATATGTTCAGTCATAAGCAGCACAGCCGCACAGTGTATTACAGAACCACCTAACTCTGGCTGGACCCAGGTGCTGTGGAAGGAGAGGTGTACACACGCCATGTTATCAAAGGGTGGACACACACATGACGATTAATTCTATGTCTTGACTTGACTGGCCTAAAGGCTGCCTGGAAAAGAGGCAAGATGCTTATGTCTGTGAAGGTGGATCTGAGAGAGAGAAAGAGGAGCACTTTTATCAGTGGACTGAGACCAATTCTCCCATCCTCCTCTCTTGCACACACGCATACACATGACCACACCCTCCACCCCCCCCACCCCCCCACGACTTTACTGTTCAACTTCTGGTTTCTTCCTAATACACATGGAATTAACCAAGGCTCTAATTTTACAGTTTAGGGGAGCTATACAAAAAGCATAAATGGTCAGTCCTGCTTGGCTCTCAAGAGCCTAAAGAACATTCAAATATGATTTCTACCACTTCTGCTGTTCAGAGTCAACAACTACAGTAAGAGCAAAGAGAGAATGAAATCAATACACTCACTGGCCTGGCCAAATGGCTGAGAAGCTAAGGAAGATGAACAGAGACTCAATCCAAAGAGTTAACAGAGAAGCAGGTACTAAACGTTACAGACCACGGTGACCAGTAATATAAATAGGTCTTTTCCTGAAGCCACCAGAAAAAGAAGGTAGCCCAGAGGCTAGAGAATGGAAAGTTTTTTTTTTTTTTTTTTTAAATGAAAGCAAAGGAGAACTTCAATAAAGAGTCAGAAGTGTTACTGCAGGGGACGGTTTCCCCTTCATGGAAGTCAAACTTGACCTGCTGGCTCCCACTCCCTCTGTGGGCAGGACCACTCTGATCGGTTTATAGGAATCAGCTGGCACTTGGACTGTAAAGGAGAGACTAACAGGCCAAATCCAAGATGCTGTCAGCACCAACCGTGAAAGCAGAGTGCATTCAGCTCAGGGCTCATGCCAAGGAATATTACCTGGAGTTCTCAGTGAGAAGATGATTTGAACCATCATTACTGGCATTCCTAGATGTGCATAAAATTCCCAGAGGGGCTGAAATTCCACAATTATGCACAGGCAATCACCACTATGGAATGACGGGGCAGTCTGCGAGAAGAAATTGGAAGCCTCATAGAATGAGTATTTATGGGCTGGAGAGACAGTCAGGTGCTCTTTCTGTGTTTCTAAAAACTTGAGTTCAGTTTCCAGCACCAACATATCAAATGGCTTACAGCCACCTGTAACTCCAGCTCCTCAAGACCCAATAGCCTCTTTTGGCCTCCTTGGGCAACTATACCATGATGTGTGTATACACACACACACATACACACACACAGTTTTTTTTTTTTTTGGTTTTTTTTTGGGGGGGGGGGTTGGTTTTTTTCGAGACAGGGTTTCTCTGTAGCTTTGGTGCCTGTCCCGGAACTAGTTCTTGTAGACAAGGCTGGCCTCGAACTCCCAGAACTCCCAGAACTCCACCTGCCTCTGCTTCCTGAGTGCTGGGATTAAAGGCGTGCGCCACCACCGCCCGGCTACACACACACTTTTTAACTTTAAAAAAGCATTAAGTAAGAATGAAATGCTTTTCCATTCTGTTATAAAAAAAAGCTGGTGAAATCCTGCTAGTCAAGAGAACTGAGAATAAATGATAGACAGGCTTCCTGTGAAGTCTGAGCGAGATATGCTTAAGTGCAGAAAGGCCTTGGGGACACCAACAAATGCCACTGAGGACACACACACTAAGTCTGCCTGAGTTTGGCGTTTGGATGGGATGTGAAAACTTAGGAAGAAAGTTCCTGGTCAGGCATAACCTTGTGGACTGAACTATGGAGGACTAATGTACAATCCCAGCACCTCCTGAGCCTGTTCTGAAAAACAGTTTTTGGCGATTTACATACGCCAAAGGGCTTGTAAATCCACAGCACTCCGACCTGTTATGTTTTCCCTGTCAGTGCTGTCAGGCCCTGACCCACTGGAGCCTCAGAAAGTGAGTCTGACCGACAGCTGGCTTCCTCCCCATGTGGTTCATCTCTCTCCAGGACCTGTGGTTCCTTCCCGGAGGATTCCACATAAAACTTTTCTGATGTAGAAGCTACGGGATGTCAGCATACCAGACAGATAGCAGCACAGAAAATCACAGGCAATCCACTGCTATTCCGTGGGCCAAGCAAAATGCACTGGCCCAGTGACTATTCCTCAAACCAGAAGCTCTCCTACATGTTACCTCCCTTCCTCTCAAACTACACACATAGCCTCCCATACAGCAACAGCCTATAAACCTGGGATCACTTTAGGCTGGAAGTGACCGCGAGTGTGCTGGGCTTCCCCCATCGCTACGATCCGTCACATATCTATGGTCCTACTTCATCTCTTTCAGTTTGTTCCATCCAAAGAACCTTGAGGAGGATGAAGGAGCCCTGTCCTCAGCTCTGAATCTCTGCAGCCCTGCAACTCTGCAGGCCTCTGCTAGGATTCACCATCCAATGCAGACCTTATCTGGAGTAGCATGGATCCCGGGCTATGGGCTCATACCCCTCAAGAAGATGGCCAATTCAGATGCCATGCTATTTGGCTACACAAATGGGGAGTTGCCAAGTGCTAGGATTAAAGGCGTATGTCACCACTGCCCGGTTTTTAGGTGGACTCCTGTTATAAAATAACACGAGTCCACCTAAATTATAGACACACTCACATGAAAATTTGTAGTTCCCTGCATGGAGCTAGCTATAAGGCAAGAGAAAACTAACCAAAGAGACAATTGTGAGATATGAGACACAGGTCCCAGTTTTCCCTCCCCTTCTTGTCTGTCATGGCTTCCAGAGCTAGTTACACATAGGCTCAGAATGAACAGCTTGCTTTCTGTTTTCAGCTTAAGGGAACAACTAAGCACCTGAAGGTGGAGCCAAAAACTTGAGGGCAAAGCTCAGTAGAGCAGCAGTCCACATGGATCTTTTCTGCCAGACACACGCACTGGGCCAAAGACAGCGACAGTCCCCACTTGCTTCCTACAGCTGAAGTGGGTTCTGCATGGCTAATACCAAAGCTGTTTTATAAATAACTTCAGCCTAAAACAGACAGGTCAAATACAAAAATCACAGAGACACTTCCTCGTCCAACTGGCAACATCTGCCTTCAACAAGTTACAAGCGTGCTGTCTAAATACAATAAAGATAACACTATGCAGAACTCTGACTTCAAAATGTCAGACCTCCCAAGGTAACCCTGTGGGTCAGTTCTCCTCCCGTCCCTTGCATGAAAGGGAGGCTGCATCTCCTGGCCTATGTGACCTTCCTACCTCCATGGACCTGGAGTAGCCAATGAGAGACAGAAACAAAACTTGTAACAGCTGTATAAACCAGTGGCCAACATATCATGGGCCCTGGTATGCATGTTTCTAAGAAGCCAGGGACCCAACGTATGGAATAATTTAGATACATAAAAGTTGTATTTGTTTAAGACAAACTGATTTGCTCTGCTTTAGTCTGTCAGGGTTTCTAAGCACAGCACAATCTGTATACAGTCTCTGTTCATCTGCTGCAGCTAAGTGTCCTATTCCTGAGGAGGCCCCATAAAGGTGACAGTTCTGACGGTCTGCTAGTGCTCTCCATCAGTGCTCAGCACACAGTAACCAGCTTCTAATTTGTTATGATAAACAATTGTGAAAGTCAGGAGTCAAGAACACAAGCATTTTAAGTTCCTGAATAAAATATACAATCACGCTATCAGTGTGGTCCCAATTCACACTGACATTTTGAAAACTTACTTTGTGGAAGTATCTTGCTAATTTAATCTGATTACAAATTAAAAGTTTAATATAACTTTGACTGATTTGAAATTCTGTGTAAGTCTACCTGTCACCGCTAGGTCCACTCCTGACCCCCACCCACGAATCCGCTTCATATTTTGCTCTAGCTGTCAGGACCTGTTTCCATGTTTTTAATCTCTTACGATCATGCTTGCTAGTACTATGCTTATGTTAATGTTGTTTATATTCTGTGGTCCTGTTTCACATTTGTAAATGATCTTACTTAGTGTTAATTGTTACGGCAGCGTATAGCAACAACCTATTAAACTTGACTTTTGAGATTCATCATAACGTGTCGACAAATTTATTTTTAAGAACCATACTAAAATTCACAATCATTATTTGGTCAATATTACACAAAGCCATTATCAACAAAACAGGGAGTTACTTACTGAATCCAAAAAGCAAAGGTAAGACCCGGTGCTCTGTGCGATTGCTTGGTTTTTAGAATATCCAACTGTTAGGAGAAAAAAAAGAGAGAGAAAATAGCTCTTTTAGAATTCAACATTCAAGAGCATAAAACTATATTTTACACTCCAAGAAAGCTAAGGTCACTTCACACTACTAGAAAAACTTTAGATATAATTTTGAAGGAATGAAAGGAAGGTAAAGAGAAAGTAATGCCCATGCTCACTGATGACAGCAGAGAATGCCAGCAATAAGTGACGACAGGCACCTAGAACAACACTAAAGTAAAAGTAAAATAGCCTCGGGGAGAGTCTAAAAGTCTGCCTGCTTATGTGTGACTGGTTGGCAAATACCTCAGTTTGAATACTTCAAGGATGGCTAGCTGTGTCCCTAGTGAGATGAAGCGACTGCTAACATCTGTGACACCTGAGTGTGTCCACCCAACCCAGGTCATTGCCCGAGCATGAATATTCAGCTCTGACTGCAGCAAACGCTGATTACTACAGACCCAACAGAACTTTATTTAGTCACGATTAGTCATCCTAAAAGCCCACAGCTGGGGTTAGTAAATGCATATTATAAAAAAAACATTTTTTTTTGCAGAAATCCTTAATAAATAAATAAATTTAAAAAAAAAAAACAAACAACTTATTTGACAGTGGAAAGAGGCCAGGATCTCTCACACAGAATCATAGGTGATCCTTACTGTACTACTGAGCAAAGAGTTCAGACCCAGAGCAGAGATTGCAGGGGACAGAGAACTCAGAGCAAAGAGGTTCTTCTGGGCTTAAGAGCTAGGAAAGTGCTTGTCCTGGATGGAGAGGCCAGGTTAGCCTGGGCTTCAGGGGCTGGCGATGCCTTATCCCCAGGAGATAGATATTAAAGTATATATATTATAAAGTTTCCTTCAAAGATATTACATCCGAGACATAAAAACCAAAGCAAACAAAAAAAATCCACAGTGACAACTAAATGTGCTGAAAACACACAAGAGTTTGGAAGATAAAATCACCACAAAGAGCATTACAGAAAGAACTGTGCTATAACTGATATAAATACGAAATGGAAAATGCAGGGCAAACACTGGAGAGTACCTGGTGACTTGGGTGTAGCCGTGATTTGGATGGAAGAACAAACCACTTCTGGAGGGGCTGACAGTTGGGCTAACGCAGCTCAAATTTGCCCTATGGGAAGGACAGTTGCAAAGGCTTGGAAATTTGGGGCCCCGTGCAGAAAGGGACAGGAGCTCAGCCTGGGTGTTAAAGGCAGATCCCTTAAAAGGTGTTCAGTCCAGAAGAGGGCACTAATGGGGCTTTAAGGAACGAGAACTCTACTGGAAAAGAGACGACCAACACCTGAATCACGTTAACCACATCGTTACAAGTCTTGATGCCACTGCGAAAAGTCACGCAAAGCAAAACAGGTGTGTACAGAGTTGAGCTAATAAATCTCTTTGGCATTTGAAGTTAAGACAAGCTGAAGAAAGTTGTCAGTCCTGAGGGAACACCACCCTAACATGCATTTAGAGCTAACTATGACACTCTCGACTTTCTGCTGTAAGAAAGGCCTCTTATACAGGGTCTATTAATACAAAAGAGTTGCACCTCCCTCCCCCATTCCCCCAAGGGGGAGGGGAATGATATGACTCAGAAGCAAGACAAAGACACGGGGAAGCTGCCCCATTCACTCACGCCCCCAAGATCCAACCCAAAGCAGCATCTTTCCGCAGGGTTCATACCAAACAGCAGTTTAATTTCTACCCTTAATCCCTAGAATTTGGCCGGTCCAAACCAGTTAGCAACGGCACCAGATTCTGATGAACTATAGGCATAAATAAAAGTAAAGGGGGAAATGACCAAGAAAGGTAACGTGATGCCTCCTACTGTGAGATAGGTTTGCCACCACCAGGAAACTCCAGCCATCCCTGTGGCTCAGGGCAAGCATGCAGGATAAAACCCTCCCGAGAACCTCAAAAACAAGATGACACTCCTCACAAGCACACTGAAATTAACAGAATTCTGCTACAAAAGTTGCTTAAGGAAAGTCAGATTTCAAGAAAAACTGAATCCGTGTAATGCTGGAAGATTCTCACAATGAATCTTATGTTTGGCAAAGACAAGGAATTTGCTCTAATATTACAGCCTTGAAGAAAGTCAAATGTTTGTGCGTGGGGGTTCCATGTTTGGGGAGGCCAGTCCCTTTGTAAGGGCAGCTGGTTGCCATGGTTCCAACAGGAAAAACCTAGCTCCATGGAGATATTAACATTCCTCACTCCTGGAAGAGGAGCAGTGGGCTGTGGTTCACTCTGCCCTTAGTAAAAAGTCACATGATGAAGTGCATTCCTGTTGTTACGAGAATGTAACGAAAAAATTAGTCCTCCCCACTGCAAATAACCCAGCATTTCTGAAAACAGAACCTTCGAATTTATGCTAGTTAAAGATGAAGGTAACACGTTCTACTTAACACATTACAGGAAAACATGTCCTTCCTAAGAGCCAACTAAATTCCACTGTGCCATACAGAACTGCCATGAATTCTCATTCACTTCCCACAGACAATAATGAGGTGATGTCATCTCCCAGCACTTTACCTAGGGTCCTTCGTTCTATAATGTCCTTATCATAGACAGATGCATTCAGATACAATGACACTCAGTGACAAGCCATTTGTGTTTTATGAAAGACAAAACCTGTTTTTACAGTGGTGACAATGAACATCAGTACCAAAATGCTCTTTCCATTCAATGACAGAGGTTGCAAAACCCCTCTCTTAAGTATATCAAGGAATATTTAGTTTCAAAAACAAATTCATTATTTCAGAATTTCAGAAGTTGAAATGTATATTCTGTGATAACCTATACATAGTTTTCTACTTCAAAGATAATAAAACTAGAAAATAATTTCCAGAAGATATTAAGATTTTCCAGACGTTAGGGTTGGATGAGTGGGGATAAGAGCCTGCTGGAACTGTACCACCTCAGATGTTACCATCTTCTGTGTGACAAGGTCTCTCGCAGACCTGGATGTCACCAGACAGGCTCAGTTGGCTGTCCCGGGATCTGCCGGCCTCCAAACAAGCCACCACACCCAGCTTTTTGACACAAGTTCTAGGAATTACACTTGGGGCTTCATGCTTGCAAGACAAACGCTTTACAGATGGAGCCGCCTCTTCTGCCCTAGGAAGTAGTTTTATTTAAATTCTGTCTTAAGAATTGTTCACGCCATTCTGCTTCCTCAAACAGCCATGATGAGGCAACACTTGGGTTTGTCTTGACAGAACAGGTTCAGCTGAGTCTTGGCAGCTGACCTCAGCTACTTACATCTACCCTGTACTTCACCCAGAATAACAAACACAAGATGAACTAAACAGCGGGGACCGAAAAAGGAAGTAACATCAGCAGGGCAGGCTTTCAGACTGGGAGGGTGTGAAGTATAAGCTCCTTTCAGAAAGCTAGCAAACCGTTTCCTGAGGACTGAGCTTGGCCTAAGGTACTGAAGACACTGTGGCCCAGTATTCCATGCTACCTAGATGTCTGGATATTGGGAGGGAAACCATGACAGCCCCAGCCAAGAATGAAATAAGAACTGTGTAAGCTCATGGTGATATACACTCTAAAAATCGAGTAAAGCAAACACGGTAGCAAAGGCCTATAATACCAGAAGGTTGAGGCCGGAGGGTTGGCTACTCAAAGCTGATGCCATCTTGGGCTACATGATGAGAGGTAGTGGGGAAAGAAAGGAAGGGAGGAAACATCACTAGGTGACCTGAGGCCACAGGACCATCATTATCATCCATATTATTATCCATGTTCCTGAAAGCAATCATCCGGACGCAACACTAGCAGAAAGGATCCGTGCAGCACCAGGTTGGTAATGGCAAGGTTTGTCTCTTCCTCTTATTCCTCTTCCTGACAGCCACCAGATTATAACAAGTACACCCACACCACCTGTTCCCTCCACCTTCCATCCACACAACTGTACCCCAAAGTCTCAAAGGAAGCTGTTGAGAGACCAGGCTTGGATCTAAGTTGGTCCTAGCAGCAGCAGGTCCTAGGCACCCAGGCTGTCACAAGTTTTCTAATGGGAACCCTGCCTGCTCTCAGAATACACTAGAGCTGTATGAACCACCCCCATCTGGACAACATAAACAAAATGGGAACAGTGTGTGTGTGTGTACTGGTTTGACACCCAACTTGTCATAAGCTAGAGAAAAGGGAACCTCAACTGAGAAAATGCCTCCATCAGATTGGCCTGTGGGGCATTTTCTTGACTGATCACTGATGTAGCTCAGCCTACTGTAGGTGATACCACCCCTGGTCAGGTGGTACTGCAGTGTATAAGACAGCGAACTGCTGAACCAGGAAGTACAAGTAGGTAAGGAGTGTTTCTCCATGGTATTTGCTTTAATTTCTACCTCTAGGTTCCTACTTTTGAGTTCCCGCCCTGACTCCCTCAGTGATGGACTGTATGCTATAAGGTGAAATAAACCCTTTTCTCCCCAAGATGTTTTTGTTGATGGTGTTCATCATAGCAACAGAAACTTGGCTAAGACAGCATGCTACTCTTGGCTTTCAACCCTAAGTTTTTCTCAGAGGTCCTGGAATACTTCTACCGCTTCCAGTGCTGAAACAGGACTCTATTCCAGACAGACGCTGTGAGAACATCTTAGGCAAGACTTGGGTACCAGGTGCTTTAAAGTATCACAGATGTTCCAAATGCAGCCACACTGGATACAAGTAACCATCTCACCGCAAGTAACTTACCAGCTCTACACCTGAAGCAAAAAAAAAAAAAAAAAAAAAAAATAGTGCAGCAATAAGGAGACTCTGGGGCCAAGTAGTGGTAGCGTATGCCAGTACTTGGGAAGGCAGAGGCAGGCGGATCTCGAGTTTGAGGCCAACCTGGTCTACAGAGTGAATTCCAGGATAGTCAGAGCTACACAGTGAAACTGTCTCGAAAAACAAAACAAAAAAAAATAATTAAAAAATAAAACAAGAGTCTGGATGCCACATTAGAAGGTAACGAGGTGAGTCCTTTACAATTATGAGAA